CTCCTCGTCTCCCTCCTCCTCCTTCCTCCTCCTCCCCTCCTCCTCCTCCTCCTCCTCGTCTTCCTCCTCCTCCTCCTCCTCCTTGTTTTCCTCGTCCTCCTTGTTTTCCTCCTCCTCCTCCTTTTTCTACTCCCGTCGCATCCCGAGGCCGGTCGGAAAGGCGGGCAAGGGTTCGCCCGAGACACTCCTCGCGATGCATGCTCTGCAAATCTGAAGTTTGCAGCAATTTCACGGATTGAGGGCGGGTGGTTTTCAGTTCGGGAATGGACAGACCCCCCTTTAGTCAAACGTGGTTTAGTGAAAACGACCTGAGGCCCAAACCTGGCGGGCGCAAGCCTGGAAAATGACGGCCACGGCGCCCTCTCGAGAACCGAAAACGGACAATTCACTAATCGACGTGTCACTGCTGGGGGTTCTGTCCACTCCCGATCAATATGTGGCGCTCGCGTTCGCGCCGCGCACACACTCGTCTTAAGCATTTGCGCAGGAACTGCGCGGACGGAGGGCGGGTGTCTTCCAAAAATGCGGCTCTCGCACTGGCTCCGCGCACAGGCCGAAGGCCACTCGAAACATAATTATAAGACGTTTCCCAAACACACACACACACACGAACACGAACACACACACACACACGAACACACACACACACACGAACACACACACACACACGAACACACACACACACATTCACACACACATTCACACACACACACGCACACGCAGACGCACACGAGATCGCACACGCACACGCACACGCACAGCCACAGACACACACACACACATAGACACACGCACGAGCGCATACACGCATACCCATGTAGTTCTACACGTATACATGTACATGTATTGCTATCATCCGTTTGATGCCACGCCTTCTCAGCCAACCTCCTGCGCGCCCCGATCCTCTGACCCGTGCTCCTCCTCTCTCTACGGCCTCCTCACCATGCTCCTGGCCGCCCCATGCCTTGCATGCACAAAAAGCCACCACTCCTCCTAACTCCGTGCCTCACACTACATGTTCCTCCTCTCTCTACGGCCTCCTCACCATGCCCTCTGGCTGCTCCACTTCTTGCATGCACAAAGCCACCACTCCTCCCAACTCCGTGCCTCACACTCCATCCGGCCATGGGGTCGGACAGACCATCCACGGATGCTGGCCAAGTCTATGGTTGAAGTTCCAGTTCTCATCCTCCGACTTGTCATCCCAGTTGATGTTCAAGAGAAAATACCTGAAGGATGCCCCACAACAGAGGTGGTGCGTCGGAACGTCCGAAACACATATCGGCTAGTAAATTCATAGACTGGAGCGAAAGACGCCATGCTGAATGCAGATGAGGTGCGATCCCCCCATGCCTTGTCTGCAATTTCAAATAATTAAGATGTTAATGTGAACAATTTCTGCGAACAAATCGACCTTGGTCGTACCAGTGACCTTATGCTTAGCAAGGTTCCGCCCGTTGGTCCTTGACACTTGCCTCGCGCCTGTAGCTACAACCCCACCCTGAGTGCCCTTGCTTTCGTCGTCCCCCTTCCCTGGGTGTTTTATCTCTGGTTATCCCACTTCATGCCCTGACCAAATCACCAACGACGCTGCCCCGACGCGGCGCAAACCTGTCTAAACAATCGTGGGCAACAAAGCTCAGATCAATTCGAATTTTGCAGTACAGTGCCCATGACACACAGAGAATGTCCCCAGGCCGCTGATTCCTAGTCATACTTCATGATACGGTCCGCTTGGGCGGCGTACGGCTGTGGAAGTTCTTGGAGGATGCGTGGCCGACTTGCCTTGCTGTTTTTCCCCGAACAAAGTTTGGGATTCGTACTTCTCTCCTAGAGACCTGGGCCTGCGTGCTTGCCAGGCCGGCTTGTGGCCGCCCTTGGCGGCGCACACAAGGGGGTGAGGGGAGGGGGGAGGGCTTCTTAGAAGCACCCCTGCTTCTTGAAAGGCGCGGGCCTTATCTATAGATGTGAGGCCGGCGCCTTTCACGACGCAGGGGTGCTTCTAAGAAACCCTCCCCCGTCCCCCCACCCCCTTGTGCGCGCCGCCAAGGGCGGCCACAAGCCGGCCGGGCAAGCACACAGGCCCAGGTCTCTAGGAGAGAAGTACGAATCCCAAACACCGTTCGGGGAAAAACAGCAAGGCAAGTCGGCCACGCATCCTCCAAGAACTTCCACAGCCGTGCGCCGCCCAAGCGGACCGTATCACGAAGTATGACTAGGAATCAGCGGCCTGGGGACATCCTCTGCGCGTGGCTGACGCCCGTCGACGCCGCCCGTCGCTGCACCATAGGGGGCGTGGGTGCCTGTCCGGCCGGCCTGCGGCCGCCCCACGCCGCCCACATCGCCGTCGCCGGTCGCCTGTCACGGTCTGGGCCCGTGTGGCGCTCCGGCCGGCTTTGTGGCCGCCCAACGCTCGTCGCCGCCGCGCGTCGCTGCACCTGTGGGCCTGTGTGTCTGCCTGGATACTGGGCATCGCTCGGACGTCCATTCCCTGTGTTTTTTTTTTCCGCTTTCGTGCGTGGCTGTTTCGCCAAGTGATCGAGGATGCTCCTCGAGGGTCCTCGCCGAGGGAAAAATGCACACGTCCGAGCGATGCCAAGGATCCCACGTGGCCGCCCAGCGCCGCCCGTCGCGGCCGCCCGTCGCCGCACCAGCTGCGCCATGGCGTGTCAGTCTGGCGGTCTCGTGGCCGCCCGTGGCCACCCGTCGCAACCGCCCGTCGTCGCCGCACCGTTCTGGTCACGATTCCGATGTTGGACAGGACTGCGGCAGCAGATTACACCACGTTCACCCCACGGACTTGCCGCCTTCCTGTGACAGTGCGACTTACACAGGGTGGTCCTTCCGAGTTCATCTAGCATGTGAACTTCCGAGTTCACTCCCATGCAAATCTTTGTTGTCCCCCCTTCGCACCCCTGCCAACCCATACTAAGCGCGCACTCGTTCATCGCAGAAAATCACTTTCCATGAACCCATTCCATAACAAACACACACATACACATCACGCACATGACGAAAACATAACGAACACACTTGTGTTGCAACGAGAGCAGCATACAACCACACAATGTTGGGGGATCCTGATACACCAAGTAAATGTTCTGCCCGCGCGCACTTGCGGAAATCATTGGGACACCACATGTCACCGGACCACGCAGTGCGTCCGCGTTGATCCAGCATGCGCCCACCGAGCGGATCCGTACCAAACAATACCATGCCCGCCACACGCGCGCGACGCCACGCGACCTGTCAAAATCCATCCAAACACACGGGTTGTCGAAACACTTCGACATGCAACTGTTCACAACATAAATGTTGCCACGGGATTTCCGAACGCGCGCACTTCGCTACCATAGCCCTCATCGGCGTCGTCGCACTACGTCATCGTCAACGACAACAGCCACCATTGTCGCCATCATCATTCAAGCGCCTCCATCATCGACGAATGGACATCTTCATCATCGGCGTTACCAACATCGGCGCCGTGATTGGCATTACCGTCGTCATTGTCATCACCTCAGCAAGTTTCGCTACTATCATCACCTGTGCCGCCGCAGTCGATGGCATCATGATGCCACGCCCGCCCGAGCCACCCACCAGCATCGAAGTGCCCTCGGGCCAGCGCGGCGTTTGAAACGCGCTCGGAGGTTCCCATCGGTAGCCGCCATCGCGGCCGCACCGGCTGTGCTTATCCAGCTGGCCAGTCTGTGCGCGAGTTTGCGCGCGCCAGCGCGGCCACAGAGATGCGCCAGCCATGGCCAAACAGTCATCGCAATCGCACCCGCATGGGTTTTGCACATCAAGATGCGGGTGGGATGGTGGGAGGATTGCTCGAGCAGTGGACTTGACAACTCCAGGTTCGTCATCCGTGATTGCGCCATTTAACCTAGACCAGTTATCGATGGCAAGGCATACGTTGCACTATATAGACACCATCAAATACACGGCGCAACATATATTGTACCACGCAATTTACACAACGTAGTTCACACACAAAACAGCACCACAAATATTGCACCACTTAACATGCATGGCGTACATGGACATTTTTTATATTTTTCAAAAAAAAAAAAAACTACCCCCCCAGGATTATCGGCACCCCTTTTCGCCTTGCAAATTACACACGAATCTGCCCTATCGTCCGTCTGAATTACGATTTCGCACCCTGCCAGTGGGCCGGTACCCCCCTCCGCCATCTCTGTCAAAGAAATACGACGCGGGCACTCGATTATCAAAAATCTTCAATTTCCACCAGATCTTTAGACCAAGCAAAAAACGTGACGTGGTGTACACGCGCGCGTCGTCGCGCGCGCAGACCGAAATTATTTACAAGCCTTCGGCCTCGTAGGGATTCCAAAATCGATTGTCGAACAAAAAACATTGCTATATTTAACACACGATTTCGCAACACTGGTTTCAAACTCAACAAAAATGCGCGCGTTCTTGCGAATCCCACCAGCCCTTTGGGCGTGAGTGGTTTAGGTAGCCTTCTCTGTCCTCAACCCCCCACCCCCCCTTCTTCCCCTTCGGGGAGGGGTTTACCCCTCCCCCTACCCCCTCCCCCTGGGTCTGGAGAGGGCGGGCCGCGGGTCGTTGGAGGGGTCTTTTTCGACTCCTGGGAGGGCTAAAAAACGACGACCCTCACGAGGATTCTGGCCCCGACGGGGGGGCTGAGAAAAAAAAACTCCTCTTCTGTGAAGCCAAAAACATCGATTTTACTAGGGTTATGGCCCCATTTTGGGCTTCTGAGGGGGCAGCGCTCATCGTCCTTCATAGCAAAATCATTGATGTTACGAAGGTTTTGGGCTCATTTTGTCCTTCTCAGTGGGCAGCTCTCATTTGCGCTTCTGAGGAGGTCGCACGAGGCCCTCAGATGGCCCCAAGAGGCCCCCGGGAGGCTCCCAAGAGGCCTCCAAGAGGCCCCCCAGAGGCCCCCAAGCGGCCCCAAGAGGCCCCCAAGAGGCCCCCAAGAGGCCCCCAAGAGGCCCCCAAGAGGCCCCCAAGAGGCCCCAAGAGGCCCCAAGGAGGCCGCGAAGAGGCCCTACGAGGAGCCCGAACGACTCACACCAGGACGAGGGGCCCGAACGACTCACATCACGAAGAGCCCGAACGACTCACACCAGGACGAGGGGCCCGAACGACTCACACCACGAAGCGCCCGAACGACTCACACCAGAAAGAGGGGCCCGAACGACTCACACCAGGACGAGGCGCCCGAACGACTCACACCACGAGGAGCCCAAACGACTCACACCACGACGAAGGCCCCGAACGACTCACACCAGGAGGAGCCCGAACGAGTCACACCAGGAGGAGGGGCCCGAACGACTCACACCAGGACGAGGGGCCCAAACTCACACCACGAGAAGCCCGAACGACTCACACCAGGACGAAGAGCCCGAACGACTCACACCACGAAGAGCCCGAACGACTCACGCCAGGAAGAAGGGCCCGAACGACTCAGACCAGGACGAGAAACCCCAAACGACTCAAACCACGAGGAGCGCTTTCTCTCCCTCCTCCTTCGCCTCGTCCTTCTCCCGCTCCCCCACAAGGAGGATGTACAAGGAGGCGGGAGGAAGGAGGAACAGGGGAGATATGCGGGGCCAAGCGGACACACGCCTGAAAAACACGACTGTCGGCATGCTTCGCGAGAGTTGTTGCTGTGAAATGGGCTGGTGGGGATACGCGAAGCGTAAAGAATTCAAAAGAACACCATAAACGTTCACCACTGTCGGAAAAAAAAGCTACTTAACGGGCTTCGTGCGCGTATGTCGAGATCGTTCGAACCATCTTGCGCGCGTGCCGTCGGAAGAACCTTTTGCAACAAACAAGACGAAATGCACGCGCGCGCGTCGTCGCGCGCGCATGCCGACATGGGTCAAACAAATTTCGGTTCCGCAGCGATTTCAAAACCGAGTGCCCAAACAACATAAAAAAAACACGTGGTTTCGCAACACAAGTTCGTTTGTGTTTACAATGCGTTCGCGCTCTTGCCAATTCTTAAGAACACCGTACGTTTCTCAACCTGTTCATGGAATTCTGCCAAACGGGCCTCTGACGCCGCCTGCCGGCATCAATCGCACGCACTTGCGCGCGTGCTGGGAAAGGGGGCGGCCCGTGTCAAATAATACCATGTGGGCCATTCTCGCGCGCCGGCCGCGCGCGCATGTCGACCCCTGTTTTTCCCAAACTTTTCATCACCGACGCGAGGACGCCATCATCGTCG